GGGAAAGACCAGGAAAGGAGCCAGGGAGGCAGTAAGAATCCCAGGCACTAGGAATCTTACAAGAGCAAGGAGAATTCAAAACCTTTTGTCTTCCCTACTCTGAAAACACTATGCAGGCACCAGGCAGAAGAATCTTCTCTGGCAGCTTGGGAAGAGAAGCACAAAACAGCATCCTCGAGCCCAGGATGAGCCCCAGGCTCCTGCAACAGAGGCAGCCAGGAATCTGTGAATGACCTGGGACAGAGGTGCAGGACAGACAGACAGACAGAAGATTCTCAATCCAGGACTGGGGAGGGAAGGAGCTGCCCGCAAGAGCTGGCAGCGGGCAGGGACAGCCCTTGACTGCAGCCAGGTCTCTAGTACCAAACACTCCCGTGTCTTCACTCAAGTGAAACTCAGTCCTCTAAATGTGAATTATTTTCCAACTGGGAATCAACACGAGAATAAGGCACAAGAAGTGGGGTCTGCAAGAAACTGACTGCTGTTTCTTGCTGAATCCATCCTGGTTTTCTGCCCCAAGGAGAGTCTAGTTCCAGAAAGAGGAGGATTGTCCTAGAATTTTCCTAGAATGTCCACTGTTTTTTTGGGGGCTGGTCACTCTCTCTGAGCCTCGCTTCCCATCTGCTATTATCCTCCAACTGACTCTTGCTGTTTCCTTAGAGTCGAAAGAATCCTGCCTCTGGTCAATTGCTATCTTCAGACCCAACAACCACCAGGGGAGAGGCCTGGAGTCACAAATTTAGAAGGAGGATCTCAAAGCAGGGGAATCCCTGCAAGGAGGGGACATCTGGACCCTTCAGGCAGAAGTTACCATGGCTGCTAAGGGAATGTCCTGTAGTCAAAGGAAGTGTCATTTAGTCCTCCATGCAGGTCCTTGAAAACCTCCCCCATCCACTTCTTTTGCTTCTTAGTCTATATTCCATGGCCAAAAAGGATTAGTCCCCCTGAAGCCCGCCAAGCTTTTACCACTGCTGCCACCCTACCACCCTTCTTCTGTACAAATTCCTCAGTAAGATATTGATTTGGTTGATGGAGAAAAGGACTCGACCCCAGAGGAAAGAGTCTGCCAAGCTGAGCACAGGAACAATCCTCTAATCTGAGAGGAGTAGCCCCTGGAAAAGGGAGCTTTTGAGGCTCTTTCCATGTTAAGGCCTAGGCAGGGGTCAGGGCTTGGGGAATGTCGGGGCCAGGGGAGATACCATGATAGGATTGGGGATAGAGAACCAACCATTAAGATGCAATGTGAGAGAAATGTTAAGTTCTTTATATTTAGGGCCAAAAAGCTGACTGTCCACATTTGGGCTGGGGATTCCTGGTTTGGAAGCAGTTTTCATGTGACCTTTTAGTTACTATGAAAAGTACAATATGATACGGCCACTGTATGAAAAAGGGAAGACTGGCCGGGCGCGGTGGCTCACACCTGTACTTTGGGAGGCCGAGGCGGGTGGATCATGAGGTCATGAGTTTAAGACCAGCCTGACCAATATGGTGAAACCTCGTCTTACTAAAAATACAAAAAATAGCGGGGTGTGGTGGCACATGCCTGTAATCCCAGCTACTCAGGAGGCTGAGGCAGGAGAATTGCTTGAACCTGGGAGGCGGAGTTTGCAGTGAAGCAAGATCATGCCACTGCACTACAGCCTAGGCGACAGAGCAAGACTTCATCTCAAAAAAAAGGGAACACTTTCTTAAGAACACAGCATTCAGCTACAATAATGGAAAAATCAGGTACAGGTCTCAGGAAGTAGCAGTCTGTGTTCTAAACTGCTCAGACATGATTTAGAATACTGTGTTTCATATGTGCTTGCAAATGACTAATGACAAAGTAGGAATTGTCTCAGAAGGAGGAGGGTGAGTTGGTCTGGGAATTATGACACATAAGAAAGGGCAAAAGACCAGGCACGGTGGCTCATGCCTGTAATCCCACTACGTTGGGAAGCCAATGCTGGAGAATCGCTTGAGCCTAGAGGTTTGAGACCAGTCTGGGAAACACAGTGAGACCTTGTCTCTACAAAAAAATTTTTTTTACGTTAGCCAGGTTGAGTGGTATGTGTCTGTAGTCTCAGCTACAATCAGGAGGCTGAGGTGGGAGGATTGCTTGAACCTGGGAGGTTGAGGCTGCAGTGAGCCATGATCACACACTGCACTCCAGCCTGGGTGACAGAGGAAGGCCTTGTCTCCAAAAAAAGAAAAAAGAAGAGGGCAAAAGGAGCTATCTGTAGACAAAGAAGACTAAAGGAAGAAGCAGAAGCAGAATGATAGAAAAAGTCACAGTCCTGAGGGCTCATAGTCCAGCGGACCTCTAACATCACACAGATCAGCATTAGCGACCTGGAGACTCACGGGTCATAACATTATGAGATTTTAGAGTTGGAAAGAACTTACAAAGTCTGCTCTATTCCCATTTTATAGATGAGAAAACTAAGGGCAGAGATTTTAAGTGAATGACCTCACTTAAGTGAGGCACAAGGGCTGGATGTCATACAAGCAAGACTAGGATTCAGTTCCTTGATGTTTACCCCAAGCCCCTTCCATCCTAAGAGCACTCTCTCATAACATTCAAGGGTGCTGTGAGTAGCAAAGGAAGTTGCCAATGCTCTGCCTTGATGCCAAAGGCAACACAATAATCAGTGATGAAATGGGATTTGGGGGTGGGAGGGTGCTGCGAGGAGGATTTATGGTTGGTCTAAGAGCTTCCTAACAGTCAACTCTGGCCAGGCCTGAGATCAGCTGCCTGGGAAGCAGCAAGCTCCCCATTCCCAAGAGGTCTTCAGAAAGAGGAGGGGATTCTGTTGAGAGGTGGGAGACTGGTCTCCACAAATAGGAAAATTCCATGATTCCCACATAGAGAATGCACCCCCCCACCTGCCCCCATACATGGTTGGGGGAAGGATGAAAGCACAATTAGAGGCAGGGTTGGTGCTGGTGCTACTAAGGAAGGCAGCATGGGACAGTAGGAACAGGCGTGTTTTTCCTTGTGGTCACTTTTCTTCCAAGTTTAAGGGCTCTCGGCTCCTCACTGGAGGAAAAATTCTCAAGTCAGAACTGCAAACCAGGAACAAGGTTGTTCTCATGTTCAAGAACTCAGCAAGGGTAATTATGGTTGACACTAAAGCAGGCAAGATTCTAGCTGGGCACAATGAAGATCTCCTTGACCAGCAGAGTAACAGAACACTGTAACTGACTGCAGCAGTAAGTTTAGAGGCTCTGTCACTTCCCCAAGGACACACACAGCTTTCTGGCCTGCAGGCTCAGATGCTCAGCTGTCACCAGGCTGGGGACTCAACCAGATGGCCTTCCGGGTCTCAAGTCTGGCATTCCTAGACCTGCCCAGGAATCTTCTCAGCCGTACCAGCGTCCCCAGGGTCCAGGGGAAACCATCCGTCACGCTATAACCCCGAGGCTCGGCAGCATTTCTCCCCAGTTTGCATTTTGATGTTTCATATAACATATCTACTCCCACGAGGGGACATCTCCCTCCCTCAGTAACGATATCCTTAGCCACCAAACCCAAATGGCTCACTGGCTTCTCTCCAAGGCAAAAAGAGAGTTTCACTCCTCAGCCTCTTTTTCTATCCAGTGAGACTAATTCATCATGTGTACTGGAAAGTCCCTTTTAAGTCTCAGCCAAAAGTCTTTCTTTTTTCTTGGAGCCCAAATAAGCTGGGAAGAGAGAGAGAGAGTTCACTGTTTTGCAAGTTTCAGAGGTGAAAGTCACTGTCATAAAAAAAAAAAAAAAGAAAAAAATTGGCAAAAAGTCTGGAAATGATTCACACTGAGAAGTCTGACTGGTTGATTTCAAATTCATTCACAGCTTAATAAATCATTTGCTGGGGGAAGAGGGGAGCAGAGGAGGAGCAAGACACTCCAAAGAGAACAAGCAGAGTGGGATTCCTGAGGTCTATGCATTCTTTGGCATCGCTGGTACCTGCTGGCTCTAGCTTTTGCTGAAGGAGGATGTATGTGGGGGTGAGTAAATAATAGAGTTTGGCTGGAGGTTCAAAGACACCTTGGCACAATCCAATTACATAGCCCCAGGATAGCAAGCCCACTACCTCTCCCTTCCCCATTTCTTAGGCTTCTAATCTAAACATCTCAATTAGAAAAGGGCTGGCAGGGAGGAATGGGGAGAGGAAGGGAGTTTGTAGCAGGACCAGGAAAATGGAGATTGCCTCTATTTGCTATGTACAGGCTGAAACGGTCCCCTCTTTGCCTACCTACCCCCAGACCCCCAACTCCGCCCTGGAAGCCACTGACCTTTGCCAAGAAGGCGGCGTTCCTGATGGCGCCCACCATTTCTCCCCCCTTAGGGTGCACCTTGGCCACGTGCATCCACATGCGCTCCCAGGTGTGGCTGTCGATGGGGAAGCCGCTCTTGTTAACGTGGAACAGCACCCCGCCGTCTTTGTCCTCCTCCTCCGAGCCCCCGCTGGTGGCGAGGCTCACGGGCCGCGCGTGGCTGCTCCGGGACCGGGTGCCTTTGGCGCCTTTGGGGTGGGGGCAGCGGTGAGTGTCGGCCGCGGAGCCGGTCATGGTGGGGCCTGGGCGGGGAGCGAGGTACTGGGGGCGCGCGGCGGCGGCGGCGGCGGGGGGCGTGTGCGCGCGGGCGCGGCGCGGGGATCAGCGCCCCGCGGGGGCGGCCTTCTCCATGCCTCTTGCTGCGGCAGGACGCGCCAAGGGGGAGCGGCGGCGGGAGCTCCGCGGAGACTCCCTGCTTACCGGCGGTGCCTGAAATCAGCGGAGACACAGCTGACACCACAGCTAAGTGGACCCACAGAGGAACCGAGTAAGGGGCCCCGGAGTGTCTCCACGACACCCCCCGCTTCCCCCTGCACGCTGACAACCTCCCTGGGAATCGATGACGGGTTTCCAGCCCTGCTATTACCTAGAAAGGCAGCTCAAAATGTGCCACGAAGCTTCACACACATCTAAACCCCGGGGGTTGGGGATGGAGGGGCACAAGGAGCGTGGGGGATGCGGAGCGCAAGGTGTGGGGAGAAGAAAGACAGCTTGTGTAGCGTGAAGGAACAGGAGGTTCCCGCAAGGCTCCACACATTCCTAAGTCCCCAGATGTGGCCGAGAGAGGAGCGCAGCCACAAACGTGCCGGCACGTGAGCGCCCAGGGCTGGCGCGAGGGCGCTGCAGCAGCCTTGGCTTGCAAGGCGGCCCGCTTTCTTCCAGGAAGCCCTCCCGGACACCGGCGGGGACCTAATGGAAAGAGCTCCATCCGCCCCCTTTTCCCCGAGTTCCAGCGCCCAGCACCGGGAGGGACTGGTTGCAGGCGGGCGGAGCGCAGGAAGGGCGCGCGGCAGTTCCAGTATCCTACCTCGGGACGGTTGGCTTCATGGCTGCAGAGCCTCTCCGGGCGGCGGGACAGTGGGGGCTGCTGCTGCTGCTGCTGCTGCTGCTGGGCCTGGGACTGGGGCTGGGGCCTGGGCTGGGGCTGCTGGGGCTTGCTGCGGCCGTCACCTCATTCCATGTCCCATTCTCGAATGTTATTCTGTGACATATAACCGAGTCACCCGGGCAGCCGCCGATGTTCCGAATGCGTCCATTGGCCACCGCAACAAAGAGGGGCGGGTCCTGGGCTCGGGACTCTACAACCCGGAGCTCCGCGACGTTCTGATTGGCTCCAGGGGTTCCCTGGCGGGAGGGGACCGGAGTAGGGGGAGCCTGGCTGCCACGCGAAATCCGATCGCTGTCGTGTCCTGGGAGCCCCGCGGGCTGGAGCGTTTGGCCATAGGACTTAAGATCGAGCTTCCCCAGGGGTCGTGGCACTTCTAGGGTTTGCAACTGTGGAAGCAGAAGAGAAACAAAACCACCCAAGAAGTGACCCCGCGGAAGCAGAGGGTTTGGCATCAGAACAGCATTCCCTGAGGGACGCTGGACACACTCACCTGCCTCTACCCGGGATGGTGAGTGGTTCATCCTCTACCCGGGATTATGAGGGGCTGTTCATACCTACGCGTAAAATTAAATCTTTTTTCAATCCCGCATTTACAAATTCCTCAAAATTAACAAGTGGGTGCAGCTTTGGATCCTCTGGTATTAGTCACGGTTAATAAAGTCCCTTTAAGCAAGTTGAGAGGAGACAATAAAACCCAAGAGGTCAGGCAGGCCCTGACTGTTCTGCCACAGCTGTCCAGTGAGAGGAGGGACGGAGAGATGCTTCCAAATCATGGTGAAGTGGGTGGCTATTCCACAATCACTACTGAAACGCCTTCTCTTTCTTTTTCTTTAAGAAAGAGGAGAGCAGGTTGAGGTGGGAAGAGCACCAGACTGCTGACCTGAAGTCTGGCTCCAAGTCCAGGTTTGTCACTTTGCTCAGCTGTGTGACCCTGGACAAGCCACTTCCCTGCTCTGCGCCTTAGCTTCTCTTTCTGAAATGAGAGCAGACCTCCCGCTCTCCAGGGTCTGCTCTGGCTGTAAGGTTCTGTGATTCCCTGACTTCCTCTCTTGTGACACTGAGGATCCTGGCCATAGCATCCTTTCTCTTTAAACTGCAGGTCAGCAGGCCAGCTCTGAGCGAAGCAGTTATGAGAGCTATGCTAAGTGAACCTTGAATTAAGAAGACAGTTCTCAGAGAGCCACTGAGGGTGGATCAGTTTCTGAATGCTAACCCTGACAAGTTGCCTGTCATGGAACCGGAACTTCTCTTCCATAGGAGGGCAGAGACCCCTGAAGGGTAGTTGAGAGCCAGGGCTTGGGTGAGAAGACCTGGATTCTGGACTTAGCCCTGCACTGCTCACTGAGACAGAGTCCATACCAAGGACTTTATAGATTCAATAATGGGAATAGGGCAGACACGGTGCCTCACACCTTTAAACCCAGCACTTTGGGAGAAAGAGGAGGAAGGATTACTTGAGGCCAGGAATTAGAGACTGGACGAACATCGCGAGACCTTGTCTCTACTAACTAACTAACTAACTAAATAAATAAATATTTTGAAATTAGCCAGATGTGGTGGCACACGCCTGTAGTTCCAGCTGCTCAGAAGGCTGAAGCAGACATGTAGAATGAAACTGGATCCTCGTCTCTTACCTTACACAAAAATCAACTCCAAATGGATCAAAGACTTAATTAAATCTAAGACCTGAAACCATAAAAATTCTAGAAGATAACATGAGAAAAACTCTTCTAGACGTTAGCTTAGGCAAAGAAATCATGACTAAGACCTCAAAAGCAAATGTAACAAAAATGAAAATAAATAAACATGACCTAATTAAACTAAAAAGGGTCTGCACAGCAAAAGAAATAATCAGCAGAATAAACAAACTTTCTTTTGCCACAGAGTGGGAGAAAATATTCACAAACTGTGCATCTGACAAAGGACCAGTATCCAGAATCTACAAGGAACTCAAACAGATCAGCCAGATAAAAACAATCTCATCAAAAAATGGGCAAAGGACATGAATAGACATTTTTCAAAAGAGGATATACTGTCAACAAACATATGAAAAAAATGTTCAACATCACGAATTATCAGGGACATGCAAATTAAAACCACAAAAAGTTACCATCTTACTCTTGCAAGAATTGCCATAATTTAAAAGTCAAAAAATAATAGATGTTGGTATGGATGTGGCAAAAAGGGAACACGTCTAAAACTGCTGGTGAGAATGTAAACTAGTACAACCACTATGGAAAACAGTATGGAGATTCCTTAAGGAACTAGAAGTAGAGCTAAAACTACCATTCGATCCATCAATCCCACTGCAGGGTATCTACCCAAAGAAAAGAAGTCATTCTATGAAAAAGACACGTGCACATGTGTGTTTATAGCAGCACAATTTGCAATTGCAAAAATATGGGACCAACCTAAGTGCCATCAACTAATGAGTGGATAAAGAAAATGTGGTATATATACACCGTGGAATACTACTCAGCCATAAAAAGTAATGAAATAATGTCTTTTGCAGCAACTTGGATGAAGCTAGAGGCCATTATTCTAAGTGAAGTAACTCAGGAATGGAAATCCAACACCAAATATTTTTATTTATAAGTGGGAACTAAGCTATGGGAATGCAAAGACATAAGAATGATATAATAGACTTTGGGAACTTGGTGGGGGGAGCGACGAAGGGGAGGAGGAGGCCGAAGGATAAAAGACTACATATTGGGCCTGGTGGGGTGGCTCATGTCTGTAATCCCAGCACTTTGGGAGGCTGAGGCGGGTGGATCACCTGAGATCAGGAGTTCGAGAACAGCCCGGCCAACATGGTGAAACCTGGTCTCTACTAAAAATACAAAAATTAGCTGGGCGTGGTGGCACAGCACCTGTCATCCCAGCTACTCGGGAGACTGAGGCATGAGAATCACTTGAACCCAGGAGGCGGAGGTTGCGGTGAGCTGAGATTGCACCACTGCACTCCAGCCTGGGCGACGGAGTGAGATTCTGGCTTAAAAAAAAAAAAAAAAAAGGCTACATATTGGGTATAGTATACACTGCTCAGGTGATGGGTGCACCAAATTCCTAGAAATCACCACAAAAGAACTTATCCATGTAACCAAAAACCATGTGTACCTCCAAAACTATTGAAATTAAAATTAAAGTTTTGTTAAAGGCTGAGGTAAGAGAATTGCTTGAACCTAGGAGTTCAATCACACCACTGCACTCTAGCCTGGTTGGCAGAGTGAAACTCCATTTCTAAAAGTAAAACAAAAATAAATAATGGGAATAATACCTTAGGTTCATAGAGACAAAGGAAATGGGCCAATTCATGAAATTGACTCATTTGACTGCAAGAAGAACACCTGGAAAGAAAAAGCAAGAAGTGAAAGAAAATTATCCCCTCACTATATAATTGCCTCAGTTTTCATTTCCTGATTAACAGAAAACATGCCTCAGAGAGTGATCTATTTGCTCATCTTGAACATTCTTCCTCCCTTCTTTTTGCATTCACCTCTCAAATCCACCCTTTTCTCCACATTTCCCGGGAGTTTCAAGTCCAGGAGACTAGAATTTCAGGATGCGGACCTGTATGCAGAGAATGAGGATTTGACCTGACAGTCCCTCTGGAGAAAACTGAGCTCTCAAATCTCGGGTGAACAGACCAGTTGGTGAACATCGAAGAATGTCTGGCAAGGGTCATCTTCCTTGGAATCACTTCCCAGTGTCCCCACTCAGGTCAAGTTCGAGCTCCTACAGTTACCCTGTTAAGCCAGAGCCTGCATCTTGCTTTACCTGAATTAAAGTCCTGGGGACCTGAGAGGGTTATCAGTTCATCTTCCTGCCTCCAGGCACCTCAGGACTCCCTGACAGTTGAAGGGAAGAGCTTTTGCTGTTCATCTCCAATATTCCAATTGTCTTTTCTTCTCTTCCCTAGCAGTGGGATGGCGTGGAGAGACAAGTGGCATGGCACATGAATATAGTCAGGAGATTTTGCTACTTCTCCGAAGAGCTGGTAAGGAAGCTTCTGAAGTGAACTGTGCTGTCTCAGCAAGGGCATTGTCAGGCAGAAGGGCGCTCTTCTTCAGAATTCCTTCTCATTGGACAGTGGCACTAGGCTGCATGGGCAGGCCAACGTTGTTCTTCATTTCCTTGTGTATTTTGTGTTATATGACACTTCAGTGAACCCAGGCCAGTTAGATTAAGGATTTTGAATGTTCTGGTAGTTAGTAAGACTGACACAGCCACATATACACACGGTGGGACAAGGCCAATTTGCAGTTTGAACAAGGACTTGGTGACTGGATTCTCAGCCTCTGAGAGAAAGGCCACTTGTATTTGTTGGCATAACTACTGGTATAGCAGGGAAGCGTAGTGGAAAAGTTTGGAATGAGAAGAACTGGATTCAGATAAGATCTCATTCAAATGCTAGCTGCTATCGTGATGAGAAATAAGACAAAATCCTACCCTGATGGTTCATATTTCTAGCTCTACTATTTATTGATGGTGCAATTTTGGGTAAGTTACTCAACATCTATGAGCCTTAATTTCCTCATGAAGAAGATAGGATACTACTCTAGAGGGATGTTATGAGGACAGAGAGGTAAGGTAAGTGCCTAGCAAGGTAACACTTGCTGAGTGCCTGGTACATGTAAGTTGGGCCTTCATCTGAATCCGAGACAGTGACACAAACAGATTTGGAGACATCTGTTCCCAGACATTTTACTGCCTGGGAGTCAAGACTGAGAAATTACTGCAGCTGCCCAGGGAAAGGGATGTATATTTCAAACACGCCATGGGTGTATGGAGGGGAAGAGAAGAAGCTGGGAGGCACAGGAGTAGGCGGGCAGCGGCACACAGGAACAGGAAGAGTTTGGTTCTGCCTCTGTTGACAGCACAGAGGAAGATCTACCCAGTCACGGGTTGAGTCGTGCGTCCCCATCCCCAAATTCATATGTTGAAGTTCCAACCCCTAGCACCTCAGAATGTAACCTTATTCAAAAATAGAGTCGTTGCAAATGTAATTAGTTAAGATGAGGTCATACTAGAGTAGGTTGGGCTCCTAATCCAGTAAGACTGATATGCTTATAAAAGGGAAACTTGGATGCAGAGACAGACATGTGCACAGAGAGAACACCATGTGAAGATTGGAGTGATGCTGCCACAAGCCAAGGAACTACCAGAATCCAGGAGAGACGCCTGGAACAGACCCTTCCCTGCACCCTCAGAGGGAGCCTGGCCCTGCCAATACCTTGCTCTCAGACTTCCAGCCTCCAGAAGTATGAGATGATAAATTTCTGTTTAAGCCACTCAGTTTGTGGCACTTTGTTTTTTGTTTGTTTGTTAGTTTGTTTTGAGACAGAGTTTCGCTCTGTCACCCAGGCTGGAGTGCAGTGGCACAATCTCAGCTTACTGCAACTTCCGCCTCGTTGGTTCAAGTGATTCTCCTGCCTCAGCCTCCCAAGTAACTGGGATTACAGGCACCCACCATCACGCCCTGCTAATTTTTGTATTTTTAGTAGAGACGGAGTTTCACCACGTTGGCCAGGCTAGTCTCAAACTCCTGACATGAGGTGAACCACCCTCCTCGGCCTCCCAAAGTGCTGGGATTACAGGCATGAGCCACCGCGCCTGGCCAGTTTGTGGCACTTTGTTATAGCGACCCTAGCAAACTAATATACCCCATATGAGGCTGATACCCACATGGGACTGATGGAGGTTCAGCCCATTTGTTTAGGGCCTACAATCATCCTGATGAGGAATGTTACCACTGCACTGAACTAGTGAACTGACTTTTTCACTAAATATCAACACTAATATTCTGTAAATCATGAGATTTAGCAAACCTGGTGTTGTTCTAGGACCACAGAAGAGAATGCCAAATGAGGAACTTAAGCGTCTTTCCCGGAGGTCTCAGAAAAATCAAATAGCTTCTTCATCTCTCACTTCCCTAAAGGATATTTTGCATATATTCCATGCTAGTATCTGAATCACATGAATTGTCATCTATTCATAGGCCCAGGCTGGAGTGCAGTGGCGCAATCTCAGCTCACTGCAGCCTTGACTTCCCAGGTTTAGGTGATCCTCCCACCTCAGTATCCTGAGTAGCTGGGACCACAGGTGCATATCACCACATCCAGCTATTTCTTCTTTGTATTTTTTTTGCAGAGACAGTATGTATTCGTCCATTCTCACATTGCTATAAAGAACTGCCAGGCCAAGCACGGTGGCTCATGCCTGTAATCCCAGCACTTTGGGAGGCCGAGGCAGGTGGATCATGAGGTCAGGAGTTTGAGACCAGCCTAACCAACATGGTTAAAGTCTGTCCCTACTAAAAATACAAAAATTAGCCGGGCACAGCGGCGCGCACCTGTAATCTCAGCTACTCAAGAGGCTGAGGGAGGAGAATCGCTTGAACTCGGGAGGCAGAGATTGCAGTGAGCTGAGATCATGCCACTGCACTCCAGCCTGGGCGA